ACCGCAGTGACCCACTCGGACGCCGGGGCAGAAGCCGGGTCTGGAACTGCCAGCCCACCTTTCCAGCATCCGGGACGGCACCAGGTACGTCCACGCGGCGTTCGGGACTGTCTGGCAGGACCAGGAAGGGGTCTGGGACACAGGCCACGGTGCACCGGCGCCACGCACACGCCGTGCTGGGTGAGTGACGCTAGACACAGGCCACGGGGGTGGGCTTCCACGGGGACATGCCCAGAACACGGTCACGGCACGGAAAGTGAGCAGGCCTCTGCGCACCTCTGGTGGGATGAATGAATACACAACCTTGAACACAAAACCCAGGAGCCAGCAGGTGGTATAGTGGCTGAGGAGCTGGATTCCTGCAGGGTCGACCACGGTTCGAGTCCCGGACCCGGCGGCTTGCTTTCTCACTTTCCCTTTCTGTCTCTCTGGTGAGTGTGTGCCCCATAGAATATTTTAAAATCACACTAAACGAATAAAACAATTCCTTAAAAGACCAAAATAAAAATAAAAGCCCACTGGGGCGGGACGTGACGCTGGGTACAACCCCTGGCTCTCAGGCATGGCTGCACACAGCCTCTCTCCCGTCACCCACTCGCTGTGGCGCGTCCTCCTACCAGTGGGGAAGAGGCTCAGGGAGGGCGAAGGAGTCAGGCCCACACGGTCTTGCTGAGATGGCACGACCACCCGTCTCGTCCCCCCCAGAAAGTGATGGCAGGAGGGGCGCTCAGCGGCCCGTCCCCGCCCCGAGCTCGGAGTCACCACCAGCCTCCTTCCACCCATGGAATTCCACCCCGGTCCACCTTCCAACTCTCCGTGCTGCAGCTAGGGAGGCCTGCGATTCTTGACAAGTGAGCAGACCTAGAAAGAGAAGGCCGGCATGGTCCCTCCGCCTGGCCCAGTGAGGCCACTCCCTGCACTCTCCCTCCATGGTCTGCTCCCCCCATGGCGGCCAGAGGGCGCCTGTGAGCACCCGACCAGATCCCCTCTACTCAGCTGTCTCGTTATGGCCACTGCACGGGCATTGGGAGAAAGCCAAGCCACCCCAAGTCAAAGGTGGAAAGTCCGGGGACCAGGTGGCATGGTGGTTAAGGCGCTGGACACTCCCACGTAGCTGACCATGGTTTGAGTCCTAGACCTGGTGGTTTGCTTTGCCACTCCCCCCCCTCCTCTGCCCCTGTCTCTCTCTGTCAAATTAAAAATAAATGAATGAATAAATAAAGTTAAATAAATAATTCTAAAAAAAAAAGAAAGCATAAATGTTATGTCTAAAAAAAAAACTAACAAGAAACTAAAGAAAGAGAAGAACAGGGGTGGCGGTGGGGGAAGAAGTACGGAAGTTACAGGAAATGCAGTCATGTCCACCACAGCGCAGGGAGAGCTGCCTCTGCAGTGGAAGTGCTGGCCAGAGCACTAAGACAAGAAAAAGAAAAAAGGCGGGGGGGAAAGAATGATAGAAATTCGACAGAAGCAACTGCTGGGCCATGAGAAGTGGAAGCAGAACAAGGTGGCCCGAGAACAGCACCTTACCCAAGGTCATGCCGCAGGTGCATGCAGAGGGGTGCCCAGGAGTCCCTGCCCTTTCGACCCACCACCCGCTCTTTATACGGTTTGTCGTTCTCTGGTTTCACGGTTGGGTTAATTTTTATCCATCAGTCATGGACAACCTCCATGACTAGCAGAAACCTAGGACAAGCCCCTGGGTTCAAGGGCACTGTCACCTTAGCCACTGTGCCAGGCTGGTGTGACACTGAACAGCCGTGGGCCTAGGGTGCCCCCCACGAGTATATCCATATTCCTTCTGGTCCCAGGCTCTCACTGCTATGAGTAAGAGGAGGAAGTCCAGGAACCTACAGCTGGAAGCTGACAACCGCTAATCACCTGCGAGTTAAAAAGTAGCAAGCTTTAGTTAACCAATCGGTAACCGCTGCATGTTAAAAAGTAGCAAGCTTTAGCTACCCTAACCCTGTCCCTAATCATGCTGCATGTTAAAAAGTAGCAAGCTTTAGCTACCCAATCGCTAATCACCTGCAGGCACAGTGTGGGGACACTAACTGCAACTTTGAAACCACCTGGAAACCAAGATGGAGGGAGGGAGGGAGGAAACAGCAAACCGGTAGTCTGGGTGGTAAGACAAGGAGTCCCCAGTCCAATTCTTCCCGCTTTTCAGTAATTAACAGAATACTGGGGGCGGGGGGGGGGCGGGTACTGTACGGCGTGCGCTGGAGAGACGGGGAAGACAGAGAGAAATGAAGAAATCGCCGCCCCCACCCCGTGGCCATGCCACCGTCCCTTCTCCTCCATTCCCCTTTCTGGATCTTGGGCACGCAATCACATGTGCCCAGCGTGAACCTCAAGCAGCCGGGTCCAGGACTTGAACCACAGTTGGCTCCATGGGAGTTCAGTGAACATAACCATTATGCCATCTGCTGTCCCAGTTTTAAACTTACTCTTACCATAATCCTTCTCCGGGCCAGCCCTGTAGCCTAGTGGTAGGGGAGCTGGACCGCTCACGGCTGATCACACGGTTAGAGTCCCAGCCAGGGCAGCTTGGAAAATACCTGAGGTGTGCAGCCCCCAAGTCAGGACAGGACGGGGAAGCGAAGGGGAACGGGTCGTGGCGTGACCGCAGCCACGGGGTGCTTTCTCCTTCTCCCTCCTGCAAATGGTGGGCGCGGCGGGAGGAAAGATAGTTAAAAAGGGCGAGAGCCCTGGGCCGCAGCTGGTCCTGGGCCACATCCTCCCAGGGTCCCGCCAGGAGGGAGACGGGAGCCACAGCCAGCATTGGGACGGGGCCCGAGGCTCCCTGGAGCCCCGGGGGGACCAGCCCACTGGCCCGACCCCAACCCCGAGGGCTGGAAGAACAGTCACGCCCTCAGCCCCGGGCCCAGCCCCACCCCTGCCACGCTGCCTACCCCGGCCAGCACCGCCCCGCCTCCCACACATGGAGGGAGCTCAGCCCGGAGACCCCGCAGCCGGCCGCCACGCGGGGTTGGAACCTGCAGGCCCACTAGTCTGCCTCGTGCCGTGGGAAGATCCCTCCTGGTGCAGCTTCCAGGCCTCCCCTGGACCCCAGATGGAGCGGGACCCCTTGACTCACTCCCAGCACCGGCCGGGCGTCCGTGGCCACCTGGTCACCTGCCCCAGCCTGGGCTCCCACTGGAGCCTGAGCCGGCCTGGCACGGGCTGTGGCTGCATCACACTCATGGGCCGGGTGCTGGCTCTGCTCGGACTCAGATGAGCCTGCTGGTGCCTTCACTCACCCTGGCCCTTAGGAAGCAGGGGGTTCCCAGCCCAGTGCTTGCCTGGATGTTGGCGGCCAGTGGAGGGCGCCCCGCTTCTCTTTGGCGCCCAGTGGAGGCCGCCCTGCTTCTCTGCTGGGGAAGAGAGGAGGGGCCAGGAGGAGCCCAGGGTCAGATCCTGCCTGTGACCCCCGCACCTGCCCAGTCCTGAGCGCAGAGCATGTGCCTAAGGAGAAACCCTGGAGGACTGCATAGAGGAGGCGGTGTGGGACAGCATCCAGCCTTCACCTCACATGGGCTGCCAGGATACTGCCGCCAGCTGGGAGGACAGGACTGTGCCCCGGGCACTGCAGCCTAACCGAGCCGGACATCAGACAGGGTCTATCCCAGCAAGGTCGTCATGTCCTGGCAACACCGAGGTCGTCTCCTCCTTCAGAGGGAACCCGAGGCTCAGAAAAACTGTAGTGGTCTGAGGAGAGCCCAGAGGGGCGCTTGGGGGAGTCCCTGTTAGTATGACTCGGGCCGGAGACACCCACTGCCCGCTGTAGACGTCCTCAGGGGACACAGGGCCCCCACTGCATTCTGTCTACGCCCCATTCCCCTCAGACGGGAGCCCGCCAGGCCGACAGGGCGGGCGCCTGGGCCACCACAGAAGTGCGGTGACCCGATGTCAGCGCTGGGGCAGGCTTCAACCCGGGGTCAGAGCTGCACACCTGACCTGGCTCACAGCCTTGGCCCGAGACCCCTCTGCCCAACGGCATCGCCGGGCAGGCCATGGACGGCCACCGCCTGGCACTGCCTGTGTGGGGGTCGGGCCCCAGGGCGAGGCGGGCAGCCAGGGCCAGACCCAGGAAAGAGTCCATGCCTAGGACAGCCGGCACACTGGGAGGCCGGGAGGCCGGGAGGCCGGGAGGCCGGGAGGCAGGGAGGCTGAGAGGCCGGGACGGCGCCCCAGGTCCTATGACCGAGGGTGGGCTGGCATGCAGCAGCCCAGAAAGGGCCTGGAGCCTGGCAGGCGGCCGACACACATGGCCCACGACAGCCAGCTGGGCTCCGGGCCCAGCATCCTCTGACACGTTGACCCTGAAGCCCCGTGGGGCTGTAGCCCTGGTCCTCCGGGTGACTGCCCGCCTCCTGCTGCCCGCGGTGGGCGCCCGCTGGGCTGGGCCAGGGGCTGGCGTGGGGGTCAGTATTTCCCAGCAAGGTCCTGCATGGACGTGCTGCCCCGGGGCTGGGCCCAGGAGGCCAGGTCCTCCAGGTGAGGCCCACAGCGGGCTGCAGCGCGGCCGTGACACCCAGCTCTTCGGACGTCCGAGCTGAGCCAGGCCAGCGCTGAGGGAGTTAATCCTCCTGCCGCCCCTCCGGCCTCCAGTCGCCCCACTTTAATGAGAGAGAGGCCGGAGGTTAGCTGGCAGCTGCGAAGGTCCTATCCCGAAGGTCCTGGCCTGGGCCCCAGCCCGCTCTCATGCGCCCTCTGCCCGCTGCTGCTGGGGTCTGGACCAGGGCCGAGGCAGGGCAGGCGGCGGGGACAGAGCTGACACAGGGGGCTTGTGCGACAACTTGAGACAGCGCTGGTGCCATCAGCCGTCCCCGCCACCCCGTGAGGGAGGGGCTGCTGCTGCTGCCTGCTCGTGGAGGCTCAGAGAGGTGAAGTCACCTGCCTGAGGTCACGCAGCACAGACGGGATGGGCAGACCGGAGCCCAGGCTGTGTCACTGGGCGGGAGGGGACCAAGGGACGCTCCCAGGCTCAGGCACGGTCCTGCCCCAGGTGGGCCGAGGCCAGTGGGGCTGGGGGGGGACAGTGAGGGCAGACCGCAGCCCGCCAGCCCAGGGCACAGGGTGGCCTTCACACCCCACCCAGGGCTTTGTGGAGCGAGGGCGGCTGCCTTACCTCTGTGCCACGCCCGGTCCCGGGGACACCTCTGATGGGAGGCCCGCGGTGCCTTAGCGCGGTGCCCGGCGGGGCCCAGGAGCCCACACGCACCCTCATCCCCGCTCTCCTACAGAGCGCGCCCTCCCCTGCCCTGTTCAGGGCCACGGGGTTATTTTACATGTGTGTGCTTTAAAAAACCCGCACGGCCGGCTGGTGGCGTGGTGGAGGCGCTGGACTCCCACGTGGCCGACCGTGGTCTGAGTCCTGGACCTGGCGTCCTGCTTTCTCAGTTTTTCTCTCTCTCCTCTGTTCCTCTCTGGTCAAATTTAAATAAATAAACAAACAGAATTTTTAAATTAGGTAAATCATTCTTAAAAGCCAAAAATGGGGACCAGCCAGGGGCATGGGGTTTGAGGGTGCTGGACTCCCACATGGCCAACCGCGGTCGGAGTCCCGGACCTGGTGGCTGGCTTTCTCACGTTCCCTCTCCTCTCTCTCTGGTCAAATGAATAGAAGTAAATAAATAAAGGTAACTAAAATAACTCTTTATAAAAGCCCGGGGCACGTGGGCTTGCCAGAAGAGGGAGAGAAAGCGCCCCAGGGCCCGGTCGCCCGCAATCCGCCCGCCACCGCTGTCCCGGCAGGATGCCGCCAGGGCCCGCCCCTCTAACCCTCACGTCCCAGTGCTGTGCTTTCTGCCGGTGACTTCGCTGTCGGCCCCGCGGGCAGAAGGTCCCCCTGGTGGCCCCAAGCGCAAGGAGGCCGCGCCCGGGCGTGCAGAGGACACACGTGTGTCAGGGAGACGGGCGCTCCGCGGGCACGGGCTCTGCGGCTGCTGGCTGGGAGTCCGCCTGGCTGAGCCGACAGCGTCTAACCAGGGCCTCTGAATAGAGCACGCCTACGGCACGGGACGCGAACCGCTCGGCCCTGTGCCTGTGACCCGGATCTCCCTGGGAGTGCCAAACCAGGGCTCGGGGACTTGGTGTTCACGCCGACTTCACAGAACCGGAGTGCCGCCCTCGGGAGGCGGCCTCACACGCACACAGGAGTGCCCGACTCCGGCCCGGCACGCTCTCAACACGCACACGCCCACGGTGACACGCACTCAGGAGGGCGAAGAACACGGGGACGTCCACCGCGGAGCCTCGGCGAGGGCCGTACAGGGTTTGCTGTGGAGTCCTCAACACTGTCCGTAGGCTTCAAAGTCCTCAAAATAAACACTTCTCAGAACGGCAGGCCTACCATGGCACCGAGTACAACACGGGAAGGTTCAGGGTTCGTGTCCGGAGAGCCTCGTGTGTCCCCGGCCCGGGCTGAGCGTGCAGCTGAGGCCCTGCTGGGGTGCCGTCCCTCCACCCCTCTTTCATGAATAAAGTACATGAACACAGGGACCAGCAGTTAGCGTAATGGCTATGTCGCTGACTCCCATGTGGTCAGCCGCGGCTCGAGTCTCAGACCCGGTGG